GGGAAGGACACATATGTAATACCCTTTGTAATACTTATAATATTTTTTTAAAAAGAATAAAAAAAAAGATCAGAGTGGCAATAAATGACATTGAGCCCAAAAAAACAATATTAAAAGATCCATAGAAACAAGAGCCAGTGCTTTGAAAGGATAAACAAGATTGATCAATCTCTAGCCAAGTTTACCAAGAAATAAAGAGAGAGGACCCAAATAAACAAAATCAGAAATGAAAGAGCTGAAGTAACATCTGATCCAACAAAGGATTCTAAAAAATACTGCAAACAACTTTTTTCCAACAAACTGGACGAAATGGACAAATTCCTAGAAAAATATAATCTTCCAAAACTCAATTAGGAAGAACAAGAAAACCTGAATAGGCTGATAACAACTGATGAAATTGAGTAATAAAAAAACTTCCAGCAAACAAAAGCCCTGGTCCAGACAACTTCATGGGGGCGGTTTTACCAAACTTTCAAAGAAGAATTAATACCTATCCTCCTTAAACTATTTCAAAAAATTCAAGAAAAAGGCACAATTCCAAGCTCTTTCTATGAAGCTAGTATTACCCTAATTACAAAACCAGATAAAGACACTAAAAAGAAAGAGAATTACAGGCCAATATCCCTGATGAACACAGATGCTAAAATTCTCAACAATAGTCTAGCAAAACATTAAAAAGATCATATACCAGGACTAAGTGGGATTTATTCCAGGGCTGCAAGGCTGGTACAATGTCTGCAAATCAATAAATGTGATACATCACATAAACAAATTGAGAGATAAAAATCACATAATCATATCAATTGAGGCAGAAAAAGCATTTGAGAAAATCCAACACTCTTTTGTGATAAAAACTCTCAGCAAAGTAGGAATAGAGGGATCATACCTCAACATAATAAAAGCCTTATATCACAAACCTACAGTATGATTACTCAATGGGCAAAAACTAAAACCATTTCCCCTAAGAACAGGAACAAGACACCAATCCTGTTCGACATAGTATTGGAAGTGCTAGCCATAGTGATCAGATAATAAGAAGAAATAAGTGGTAACTAAGTTGGAAAAAGAAGAAATAAAACTGTCATTATTCACAGATCGCATGATATTGTACATAGAAAACCATAAATACTCCATCAAAAAAACTACCAGATTTAATAACTGAATTTGGCAATATAGCAGCATACAAAATTAACTCACAGAAATCTATGACATTTTCATACACCAATAAAGAACTCACAGAAAGAGAAACTAAAAACAAAATCCCATTGACCAAAAAAATTGCAACAAAAAAATTAAGATACCAGGGAAATAAACCTATCTAAGGAAGAAAAAGACCTGTACTCAGAAAACTACAGGATGTTGAAAAAACAGATAGAGGAAGATATTAACAAGTGGAAGAATATACTGTGTTCATGGATTGGTAGAATCAACATCATTAAAATGTCCATACTACCCAAAGCAATCTATAGATTCAATGCAATCCCCATTAAAATACCAACAGCAAATTTCACAGACCTAGAACAAACTCTCCAAAAATGTATAAAGAATTAAAAAAGACCCCGAATAGCCTCAGCCATCCTAAGAAAGAAGAATAAAGTTGGAGGGATCACAATACCAGATATCAAGTTATATTATAAAGTCACTGTTCTCAAAACTGCCTGGTACTGGCATAAAAACAGACATATAGACCAATGGAACAGAACAGAGAATCCAGGAATTGACCCAAGCCATTATGCTCAATTAATATTTGACGAAGTAGGCAAGAGCATACAATGGAGTCAAAGTCTCTTCAATAAATTGTGTTGGGAAAATTGGGCAGATACATGCAAAAAAATGAAACTAGACCACCAACTTACACCATTCACAAAAATAAACTCAAAATGGATAAAGGACATCAACCTAAGATGGGAAACCATAAAATTCTTAGAAGAATCCATAGGCAGCAAAATAGCAGACATCTCTCATAGCAATATCTTTACTGATACAGCTCCTAGAACAATGGAAACTAAGGAGAAAATAAACAAATGGACTACATCAAAATAAAAAGCTTCTGTACAGCAAAAGAAATCATCAACAAAACAACAAGAAAGCCCACTGCATGGGAGAACATATTTGACAATATTATCTCTGATAAGGGTTTAATCTCCAAAATTTACAGGGAACTCCTACAAAAGGAAGATAAACAATTCAATCAAAAAATGGGCGAAGGACCTAAATAGACAGTTTTCAAAAGAAGACATACAGTAGTCCAAGAGACATATGAAAACATGCTTAAAGTCACTAATCATCCGAGAGATGAAAATCAAAATAACAATGAAGTACACTCTTTATTGGCTATCATCAACAAATTAACAAATGACAAGTGCTGGTGAGGATGCGGAGAAAAAGGAGCCCTCGTGCACTGCTGGTGGGAATGCAACTGCATGGATGGACCTGGAGAGCATTATGCTAAGTGAAATAAGCCAGTCAGAGAATGATAAATATCATGTGATCTTACTCATTTGTGGAATATAATGAACAACATAAACTGATTAACAAAAATAGATCCAGAGACACAGAAGCATGAAACAGACTGTCCAACCTCAGAGAGAAGGCAGGGGATGGGGGGATAAGAGAGCAACCAAAGGACTTGTATGCATGCATATAAGTATAACCCATGGACACAGACAGTAGGGGGGTGAGGGCATGTGCTGGGTGTTGGGAATAGCTGGGGAGAGGTCAATGGGGGGAAAAGGAGACATTTGTAATACTTTAAACTATAAAGAATTAAAAAAAAAGACATGACAAGTGATGGTGAGGATGTGGAGAAAAATGAATCCTAGTACACTGCTGGTGGGCATGCAGACTGGTGCAGCCATTGTGGAAAACAGTACAGAGTTTCCTCAAGAAATTAAAAATGGAACTCCCATTTGACCCATCAATTCCACTTCTAGGAATATACACCAAAAAATCAGAAACACCAATCAGAAAGAATATATGCATCCCTATGTTCATAGCAGCACAGTTTACAATAGCTAAGATTTGGAATCAGCCTAAGTGTCAATCAGCAGATGAATGAATTAAAAAAGTGGTACATCTACACAATGGAATACTATGTTGTGGTAAAAAAGAAGGAATTCTTACCATTTGCAACAGCATGGATGGACCTAGAGAGCATTATGCTAAGTGAAATAAGCCAGTTGGACAAAGTTAAATATCACATGATCTCACTCATTAGTGGAATATAATGAACAACCTAAACTGATGAACAAAAATAGATCCAGAGACATAGAAGCATTGAACAATCCATCAAACTGCAGCAGGAAGGTGAGAGCATAGGAGTGGGGGTGATAGATCAATCAAAGGATTTGTATGTATGCATATAAACATAACCAATGGACACAGACAGTAAGGGGATGAGGGCCTGTGCTTGTGGGAGGGAGCACATGGGGAGAGGTCAATGGGAGATAAAGGAGACACATGTATACAATACTTTCAACAATAAAGAATTTTAAAAAATTTACACAAAATGTTAAAAAATAAAAATTATAAAATGAAATTTATTTTCTCAAACTAATGCTTGATTTTTCTTCCTAAAAATCAAAATGTAATATCAGATGTGAGCTACTTGTAACCATTTTTTTTTCTCAAGTTGTGGTTAAAAATTTGATGTGCTTTTCAATATATAAGTAGAAATACTTGGAGAAATAAATTTCCTTCCCCAAACCTAATATATATTTTTATAAAAAAAGTTCTTAGGCAGGTTTAGATCTACTCTATAGAACATAAAATATAATTAATTATATCTTTTTAAAATTGTTATGATTTAAAAAAATTTAAAGCCTCTTACCACATTTTCATATTATTAACCCAATTTATTTTAACCCATTTAGAGTTACAGGAAAACAAGTAATAAATAAAGTTGAGTGTGAAATACATACCACAGGATTTTCAAAAATCTGCCAGAGGTCATTGTTATAATGGGAAGTATTGTAATTTGCAGTTGATAATAGTCTTCCAAATTCATGTCTATTAGAAATGTACATAAATACACCCTATATGTCAAAAAATAATAATATTAACAATCATAGAATAAAGTACAAGAAAATATATTTAACCATAGGAAAATATGAGATATCAATTTTAACCTTTATATTTTCATTTATGAACATGCATTTTTATTTTTCATATAAAATGTACATGATTAAAAATTAAATGATTTTTTATTCATTATGAATTCAGACACCACACAAAACAAATTGCTTGCACTGCCACCCAACTGAAAAAAAAGAAGAGGCAGAATGGTCCTTTTCTCATTGATCCTAGATATAGACATCAGGGGAAAATTCCTGTTTAAAATCAGAAGTATTCTTGAGACAATGTGCAATTAACTGTATCTCTTTTGGCTTCTTACCCTTTCAAAGAAGACATCACATTTTTAAACAAGAGTTCAAATGTCAATATTCTTTCATCAGTCTATTTTATTTTTTTATTGTCCTAATGTTTAAAAACTGAACACAGAAACTACTCATACATTAAAAGGCGGCTAAAAATCAGTCTCATATCTTTGTGCCAACCCAAATAAATGTGGCAACACCACTAAGGTAAGATTATTTCTTTTTATACCTGTTTTAATGGTAAAAGAGTTAGTTATCCTATATAATAAAAGGGTAATATTCAAATAGACCGAACAGCAGAACATCAGAACAACCAATCAAAGCGTACTATGCTAATGATATGCTAAGGCTGCTCAACTGCTCACTATGACATGCACTGACCACCAGGGGCAGAGAGTAGACCCGTCGACCAGTCACTATCACGTGCACTGACCACCAGGGGGCAGATGCTCTGACTGGTAGGTTAGCTTGCTGCTGGGGTCCGGCCAATAGGACTGAGCAAGATGGGCTGGACATGCCCTGGGGCCTTCCTACAGTCCCTCCCTGGCCTTGATTGTGCACCGGTGGGGTCCCTTAGCCTGGCCTGCGCCCTCTCGCAATCCTGGACTGCTCGGGGCTATTTTGGGGAGCCAGTTTCAGCCCCATCCCACAGGCCACTCCCCTTGGGAGGGTGCCAGATGCAGGGCTCATGGCTGGCAAGCGCTGCTGCCTCTCCTAATTGGGACTGATTGGGCGCGAGCTGCAGCAGGCACAGTGGGTCCAGGATGAGCGGGAGGGGCAGGTAGGAGCTGCAGGTGGCATTGGACTGCAAGTTTCGGCCCAATCCCTGCAGGCCACCCAGAAGGACCCCGCCCATGCACAAATTCGTGCACCGGGCCTCTAATTAATAATAATAAAAAACTCATGAAGAGTATCCAATTCTAATTTTTATCAAGATGTACTTTATACTTACTCCTACCTCCTCTCCCTTAAAAAAACAAAAACTAATGAAAGGGATTTATGCTTCATTTTCTCATCTATCATAATACATCAGTCATAAAATATAAATCAGCCCAAAGAATTGAGAGTTGAACATCCTACAATGCCCACCCCCAATACACAAAGTTTATAAGCACATACATAGATTCAGAACCAGTAAATACCAACAATTTACCATATTCAATAAACAAAAACAAATAAAAATAAATAAAAATAACACCTTTGGGGGGCTGAGCATTTGGAATGTTTCCGGAGTAGGGGAGTCTTTTTCCCTTTGTAAAGTCTAAAATGAAGAGAAGCATGGGATAAGTTGACCTGCAAACCCACTCTCTCATGTAGTCTCAGGTAGTAAAATAGCAACCCTTCATGAAAAGCTGACATTCTGAAATGCCCCTCTTAGAAAACATGCAGAACAAGCAAAGCTTAGAGCACACAAAGAAACAACTCTAGCCCCTTTTTTCCCCTTGTGAAACATAAATCCAAGCTCATTCAGTAGTATAATTTCCATTAGACATAAAATTAAGACAAAGAGAAAAATGTGTAAGAGAGGCCATTCTGGGATGCGCTGTTGAGTGAAATTAGCCAAACATGAGCACAAATTACAATTATAGATACTGAGGATATTTAATAACAATGCACACAGGTTTGTAGAAAAAACAAACATATTCACACAACACATGCCTTATTAAACTAATAAAAACTACTTGCCAACTTTTTTGATTGTTCACAAAATTACATTTGCTTACATAAATTTGAATACAATAATCAAATCCTTTCTAAAACAGAAAACCATATAAATATGTTTAAAAAGATTTTGAAAAACAAATTATTTTCTATAGTCATTTAAGTTATATAATGAAAGTAGATTTGTAGAATAGCAATTTATCATTAATTTTTCACATAGATTAAGTATACTACATACCTCAATCCATCTCCCAGTTTAGTGGTAAGACATGCAGAGATATTGATAATGAAGTATGGACACTGATTTTCAGAACAAAAGTGTGTTCTTAAATGTGTAAATGATCATTTCACCTAGGCTTTACCTAATTAATTTTATTGAGATCAAGTTTTCAATACAGAATTACAAATGAAAGTATATATTAATTCTTAAAAATGCTATGCTGATTTGGAACAAATTCATATTTATTATTGAATCCCACTGTTGCTGATGAGTTAGCTTAATCAGTAGCCTAATTTTTCAAGTATTTCATAGGTAAATATTCACAAATTATTCTCCATAATTGTTCCCAATTTCCCAACACAGAATCAAAAAAATTGGCTAGTATTTACAAACTAGAAAGAAAAAGGACATCAAAAGAAAATAGCACATCAATTGGGAAAGCAAGCCATCTTCTAAGAACACCGAACAAGCCATCATCATATACCCTACCATTTCTCTAGCATTTCGGCAAAGAGCCATGTCAGGATCCAGTCTATCACGAACAAAATAGTTCCTTTCATTCATCTCTGATCGAAGTGTCTTCCCTTTAATTAAGTACACATTAGCCATGTATGGGACATTCCATATCCCTCTGAAAGTAAAGAGAAGACATTCCAAAATACCACAAATATAAAATACTTAGTTTTATTTTTTTATATATTTTTTAAAATATGTTTTTATTGATTTTTTTACAGAGAGGAAGGAAGAGGGATAGAGAGCCAGAAACATCGATGAGAGAGAAACATCAATCAGCCGCCTCCTGCACACCCCCTACAGGGGATGTGCCCGCAACCAAGGTACATGCCCTTGACCGGAATCGAACCTGGGACCCTTCAGTCCACAGGCCGACGCTCTATCCACTGAGCCAAACCAGCTATGGCACTTAGTTTTATTTTTGTTTTAAAGGTAAATGCCTTATATGTTTAAGTTATATATATAAATTATGAGGCAGCTGATCGATGTTTCTCTCTCATCGATGTTTCTAACTCTCTATCCCTCTCCCTTCCTCTCTGTAAAATATCAATAAAATATATTTAAAAAAATTATTGAATCAAATTACATGCAAATACAAATATACTTAATGCCATTTGACACACACACACACACACACACACACACATATCCATACATGATATTTATACAGTATGTCCCCAAAACACGTACACACACTTTAACAGCTGATAGTTCAATCGATGTTTCTTTCTTTTCATCCAGACTAAGCTTTAAACAAAGGAAATTCATCCTAAAATGCTACTGGAAGTTTGAAAACGCAATTGAAGTACAAACTCTGCCTTTATAATTATGCAAAGTGTGTTTACATTTTTTGGGGACATCCTGTATATGAGATTATCCTATATAATAAAAGCCTAGGTGGCGTAACACCCTCGTGCGACACCCTTGCAAGACGTCATCACAAGATGGCTGCCACAAGATGGCCGAACACACAGTGGAGGTGGGGCCCGGTGGCCGCTCCGCACAGTGAGGCCTGGGGGGTCCTGCGGCTCTGCGCGGTGCAGAGGAGGCCGGTTCCGGCGTCTCCGCTGCCTCACATAGAGAAGGTGGGTCACAGAAGGGGAGGGCAGTTGTGGGTGATCAGGCTGGCAGGGGAGGGCAGTTGTGGGTGATCAGGCTGGCAGGGGAGGGCAGTTGTGGGTGATCAGGCCAGCAGGGGAGGGCAGTTGGAGGTGATGGGGCTGTCAGGGGAGGGTAGTTAGGGGCTAACAGGCCAGCAGGGGAGCAGTTAGGCATCAATCAGGCTGGCAGTGGAGTGGTTAGGGGGAGATCAGGCTGGCAGGCAAGCGAGCAGTTAGGATCCAGCAGTCCCGGATTGTGAGAGGGATGTCCCAGATTGTAGAGGGTGCAGGCCAGGCTGATGGACAACCATCCCCGCCCCTGAATGAATTTCATGCACCCGGCCTCTAATTTGCTATAAATTACATTGTTATGAGATAAACCACTACCCTCCCTAGAGAAACTTTATTTTAAGGCTGATATATGTTTGGCATTTTGACTGTCACCCCGCAGTTGTTACAGTTAGAATATAATATTCTGTTGTACAGAAGGTGTTTCCCTTTAAGGTTAAGCAGTTTGATAGAAAAAAAATAATGCCATACAACTTGTTTTCTAGAGCTGGTTTACACTGGCTCCCCAGTGATGACTTGTAACTTCACTAAGTCTATGCTCAGTGACTTCACATTGGAAGCTTGAAATCAGCCATGGTAGAGATATTTATACCTTAGAAATTGGCAAACATTATAAACCAGGACATCCTCCAACCCCAAGAACCAGCTGTTAAACATTTACCAGCATACTACTCAATATAGCCTAAAATCCTCCTAAAATATATCCTCTTGAAATTCATTAAGCCACCTCAAATTTTGTTAAAAAGGAAAGATATGAAGAAATATAATCAGAAGGAGATGGGAGGTACATTATTTGGACCTTCATTCTTCCCACAGACCCATCTCCTCACTCCCAATATGACTCACTTCATAAGAACAATATAAGAAAGGATTCGCCTGAAGGGATATATATGCCTGTTGCTTTTAGAGAACAGAAAGGGAAGATCTTGACCAAAAAAATGTACATATTAAAAAAATATGAAATCATTTTGTCTTACTAGATGTGTCTTTAAGAGAATGGTCATAAAAAATAAAGAAAAAGAAAACACACACATAAATTTGTCATAAGATGTCATTCCTTCATGCAGTTTTTGTACATGAAGGAATGTACACGTGTATTAACTAGATTAAAAATCTCTACCTTTTTTTGTTTGTTTTTTGTTAATCCTCACCTGAGGATATTTTTCCATTGATTTTTCTTTTTTAGAGAAAGTGAAAGGGAGGGAGGGAAGGAAAGAGAGAGAGAGAGAGAAAGAAACATTGATGTAAGAGAGACATTGATTGGTTGCCTCCTGAACAATCCCTGACTAGGGCAGGGAAATGAACCTGCAACCCAGGTAGGTGCCCTTGACCCAGAATTGAACCCGTGACCCTTTGGTCCACGGGCTGATGCTTTAACCACTGCTCAGTCAGGGCTCTACCTTCTTCTTATTCTCACATTTTAGACAATGACAGGAGATTAGACAGAAAATCACATTTATATAGCAACTTAAATAAAACATGAATTTTCTATTCTACGTCTGTGAACTCTTATTTCTACTATACCCACAGGCACTATCAGGCATATGGTCTATACAAATAATGCCAGAGACAATAAGTACTTTGAAATAACAGAATATAATCTTAGTGTTTTCTCAGCTATCTGCTTCTTAATTTCAACTAACAAAGCCTTCATCATATTTATATCACTCAAATTTGCTATTACTATTTTCACAAACACAACATCTTTTTAATACTCAACTGTTGAACAAGAAGTATTTAATGTGATTTTCTTTCTAAATTTAAGGACACATATTTTAGTTATGAAAAAATGTTTGCCCTTTTCAATTGGGCTGATGTACTTGAGAAACTAGGCAAAGTATTTATGACTCAGTCACTTTGGTCCATTGTCTGTATGAAAAAGAATGACACTCTCCTGTAATATTACCTTAGCAAAAAAACCTATTTCAATTGTGACTGTTAGTTTTAAAGATGTCAACTATTGTCTCAGGAAAAAATATCAATCATACACACACTTTATAACAAGTATATTCTTTTCAAAGTCTAGAAATTGAATTCAGATATTAGTGAAGAAATTGATCTTTAAAGTAGAATATTTTACACAGAAAACACCTGCAATAGGAAATGTTGGAAGATTTTGATTCTGAGTGTTGTTTGTTGATTTATAAATTTTAAAAGCTATCAAAACAACCTTCATCCTGGCAACTAAATAAATTAGTTAAACTAAATTTGCTTTCCAATCTTTTAACTAAAGAATATTACTCTTCTAATAATCAATCATAAGATTGCTATCCATGGTAACCATATATTGTCTATTAGAATTTCCCACAACTGTGAGTTTGTTCCTTTGAAGATTTAGAATTTTAAAAACATTTTTTTTTGTAAAATACTTGTTTACACTAATATTTCAGGATCCAAGTCATCCCCAGGTTCTCAAATTTCCATTAAATATAAAGAAAAAAGATAAATAGTAAAAAATAAATAAAATTCAAGTAATATTAACAAGTCCTCATCTCTAGGTCATGGTATTTTACATTAAAAGATTAAATTAACTAACTTACACTCTATTCCCTTGAACAATATCCACATAATCTTCATATCGAGCAAAGTAGCCATCAGGACTCAGGGCTCCCCAGAAGTTGGACCACAGCTTTCCATGGCGAGTTACAAGAGGAGCAATTATCTTTCTAAAGAAAAAAAATCCAGGTAACTATTTGTTTTAATCACCACAGAATTATGGTTCTGAACTTAGCTTGACACAGAATCATTCAAGTTCATTTAACACACATGTAGTTAGTCCATAAAACTAAAAGTAAAATAGAGAAATTGCTTCCCAACACTTTTTCTTAAATAAGTACACTGCTGATTTTCAGTGATATTTCTTAAAAAGAGTAACAAAAGTAACTCAAAATGTGAATTAAAGTATAAAAAGGATTTTTAAAAGTCCCTTTCTTATGTCCAAAAAGGTGAGACTACCATATAGTATTTCAGAAACTATAATATATAAAATCAAGTATTTCATAATAGTCCATGGTGTATTAAGGTGTCAAATAAATATCTGTTGAACAAAAAAAAATGAATGATGATGGGCTAAAATATTTGTAAATAGGTCAGTTTTCCTAAAGTTAAGTCCTGAGGGCAAGTGCTGGGGGGTACAAGAGGCCGGGGGCAGGAGGGGGGAGGTCAATGGGGGGAAAAAAAAAGGAGACATATGTACTACTATTTGTAATACCTTAAACAATAAAATTAAATTTAAAAAAATAAAGTATGTTTATAATTTTTACAGCTTTTAAAATGGGTTGCGCTAACCCTGGCAATATGAAACATTTTTCTGGTCCTTTAACTATTTTAGAAAACAAAAGAGTAGATAACTACCATAGCACTCTAACCACCTACCAGGAAATAGTCCCTTTGGGAAAAGCATGTTACAAATCCAAAACATGTCACATTTCTTCTTAGGGAAATCTAATTTACGACGTGTCAACATTTTCCAAATAAACTCACAAAACCTGATGTTCTTCTAAAATTACTTCTAAAGTATTATGCACTGTAGTGGTACCTCACAATTTTTTAAAAAAGCTCACAAAACTTCTCCAAGAGAAAGCTATGCACCAACTATTCTTCATAAAAAAACCTATTCTCACAACACGCCAATGCTGTGAAGACCAGGCGTGACCTTTCTCTTACAATAAAAAAGTGAAACTTAGTCTATAAAATATACAACATGCAATGAATAATTTTGGTTTATTTTTCCTGATTCCTATTAATAATGAAATATTAACCAGAAACACTTATACCTTGATTTGTTTAAAATACATGGATAAATTAGAATCTATATATAATGTTTATTTAAGAAATGATAATTCAATGTCAATAACTGACAAGAACAAATATTTAATAAAAAAAAATCTTGTAATTAAAATCTCAGCTGCCTCCCAAAGATGGATGGGAAAAGAAATGCTGAAAATCAAAATCTATCTGAAGTGTGCCTCAATGGTTTTGAGCATGGAAATACAAGAATAGAAGCTGGGGCCCTGGCCAGTGTGGTCCAGTTGATTTGGTCATTGTCCCATGCACTGAAGGGTCACAGGTTCAATTCCTGGTCAGGGTACATACCCAGGTTTCGAGTTCAAACTCACTTGGGGTGCATACAGGAGGAAACCAATCAATATTTCTCTCTCTCATTGGTTTTTCTCTCCCTCTCTTTCTCTGTCTCTCTCTAAAATCACATATCCTCAGGTGAGGATTAAAAAAAAAGAATAGCATCTGGGAGACTAAATAACTAAAGGAGTAAAATTTGGAGCACGGCAGTCAAAATCAGCAATAAGAGGAGGAGAGGAACAAGAGAACTGATGAGATGCTGGAAAGCCACATGCCCTAAGATGTGACCTATCCCCTGACCCTCTAGCCTTCAGTCAAGTCTACTAAATCTTGAAAGAGTCTTGGTCTATGTCAATGCTTTATGTAAACTACATGCTTGGATGCAGGTGTGTATCATGTGAAAATAATCCTTAGATAATTAACAGAAATTTATGAAACTGGAGAAATAACCAGTTTTATTGACTCTTTACTTATGAGGGAAATTTTATAATTGACAAGGTTTAAAGCATTATATTAATATTAAAGAGGATATATGTTAAATATGTATATGAATTCATTAACAATTCACTATAAGAATTACTAAATACCTATCAAGTGTCATATAATAAAAACATTAAATATTATAAAAAAGCATATCCTATATAATAACAGGCTAATATGCAAATAGACTGTACGGCAGAACAACCAAACAACCGGTCACTATGACATGCACTGACCACCAGGGGGTGCGCCCGGAATATGGAAGGCATCAGCCGCTGCAGGATGGCACAGCAGGTGAGCAGGGCGTTGGTTGCTGTCATCGGGGCAAGCCTTTGGTGATTACTGAAAATTCTATGCTACCATGCGCTGCAGTCCCCCCCACCCCCCCGTGCTTGCATCTGCTGCTGGTGCTGGCCCCACTCGCACCCACTGCCAGTGCCCAGTGCCAGCCCCGATCACTCAGCACCATCAGCGGGTGCGAGCAGTGGCTGCCAACCTTGATCGCCCCTCAAGGCTTCTCCACCTCCCCCTTCTCCTGAGGGGAGATTGGTGCCGGCAGCCGCCTCTTGCACCCGCTTTCAGCAATGGCGCCACTCGCACCTACTGCTGGAGCCACCGCTCACACCTGCTGCTGGTGCCCAGCATGGTTCCCAATCGCTCGGCGCCATCACTGGATGTGAGCAGCGACTGCCAGGCCTGATTGCCCCCGAAGGCTTCTCCACCTCCCCCGTGCTCCTGAGAGGCGATCGGAACAGCAGCCGCCACTTGCACCCACTGACGGTGCTGGCCCCGCTAGCACCTGCTGCTTGCGCCGGCCCCAATCGCTCCACACTGTCAGTGAGTGTGAGTGGAGCTGGTGCCGTCAGTGCATTGGAGTGGCAGCAGTGGGACCAGGGCTGCCTGTAGACGGGACCGGGGCTGCAGTGGGAGGGGCCAGGCAGGTGCACGGAGAATGGGCCGAGACTGCCTCTGTGCCCACCGCAGCCTCACGGCCCACAGTTCCTTTCAAGGTGCATGAATTCGTGCATTGGACCTCTAGTGTATATTATACAGTATTAAATTTCAATCAAATTAAAAAGGAAATTAACATGGCAATTTCAAGAAAATGTTACTGAATTTCACCAGGTTTTAAGAATTAAACAGGAGAGATTAAAAATGGCGGCAGAGAGATTAAAAATGGTGAAAGAATAGGTGATACTGCACGGACATGCTCCCAGGAACAAGCTGGAATAACAACTGAAATACGGAAAGGCTTCCTGAAAAATCAACAGAAACCACAGGAGAGAACCCTGATACCCAAGGACTGAAGGTGTGGAGACTGCATAGTGACTGGTAGGAGGGGTAGAGGCACGAAAGGGCTGGCTGGGCACCCACAGACAGCAACTGAAGTCCCGTAGAGATATCTCAGCTGTGGGTGTGGGAGTACCACTGAGAACTCTGGGATCCAATCTCGAAGCTGGCCTCCCCAGCAGAAAGCACTAAACTGAGAAGGATACCTACATAACATCTAGCTGTGAAAAGCAGTGGGGTGCTATCTGCCATGGAGTGGCACCTGAAAGTTCCAGCACCCTCTTGAAGGGCCAACACACAAAAATTCCCTATGGAGCCACCCACCTTGTGCTCTGGCAGAGAAAGGTTGAAGTGGACTGGAGCTGTGAGAGCAGAACCCAGGATTGGGAATTCGGGGGATAGAACTCAGAAGGCAGACCCCCCAAGTTTCCTGGGCTGTTATTCCACCATGCAGCAAAGGACATCTTTCCCACATAGACATCTGCCTTGCCTTGGAGGAAGACAGTTGACACACCCTATTGGAAAACATCTTGCCCTGAGACTACTTAAGAGATTAAAAGTAACAATTAGCCTCCAGGCAGAAGAAACTGCCCCACCCTGTTGAAAAACTTTCACCACACCTGAGGATGATTGCCTGGGGGTAATTCAAGTCAGAATTTTATTAGTCTGTAGACAGAGGTGGTCTCTGGAGGCTTTAAGTCTTTGCCTGATCCAATTAGTCAGAAAAAGCCTTTAACACAGTCCTGCACTAGAGATTGAGAGGTGTAGAGGATCTACTTAATACATAGTCACAAACTCAAACAGACAACCAAAATGAGGAAACAAAGAAACAAGCCCCAAATGAAAGAACTAGATAATTCTCCAGAAGAAGAGATAAATGAAGCAGAGATAAGAAATTTATCTGAAACAGAGTTCAGAGTAATGATGGTAAAAATGCTCAACAGTATGAAAAAAGATATAGCAACTATGAAAAAAAGAACAGTATGAGATAAAGAATGACATAACACAAATAAGGAAAACATTGGAAAGAACACACAGCAGAATAGGGGAAGCTGAGGATCAAATCAGTGAATTAGAAGACAGAGTTGAAAATATCACTCAATTAAAGAACCAAAAAGAAAAAAAACAATTAAAAAACTGGAGGACAGCTTAAGGGAGCTGTGGGACAGTGTGAAATGTAACAATATTAGAATAGCAGGTGTTCCAGAAGAGGCAGAAAGGGAGAAAGGCATAGAGAAGGTATTTGAAGAAATAATGGTACAAAACTTCCCTAACCAGGTAAAGGAAAAAGTCACACAAGTTTGGGAGGCACAGAGAACCCCAAACAAGAAGAACCCAAACATACCCACACCCAGACACATCATAATTAAAATGCCAAAAGAAAGAATCTTAAAGGAAGCAAGAGAAAAGAAAACTATTACCTACAAAGGAGTTCCCATAAGGATGACATCTGATTTCTCATCAGAAACTCTACAGGCCAGAAGGGAATG